TAACGCAGATAGGCCTACAGTAAAAGTTTTTATCGGTACTGCAAAATCTACCTATATATTGAATGACAACTCAAACAATATCTTTGGTATTATATATGCATAAACAGTTTTATGGTCTTATAATTTGACCATGCCAATTCGCAACGTTTTTAACATTTTTTTAATGGCGTGTTGTTTTGTTCTGTGTGCATATCGTTTTAGAATATCGGTATTGGCCTCATCAATTACAGACCTGTACACGCGTGATTGGTGTGTTTCCTGTGAATTGCTTTTATAAGTGTCTGTGCACATAATTTACCAACATAGCTTCGATTAAAGTTTGTATTTTGCTTCTTTTAAACCAATGCCAAATCAGTTAAGTTATTCGTGGCTTCCGACTATTCTCGTTAGTCGTTACTTTGTCACATTGTATTTGTATCATTATCAGAAGTATTTTAAAAGTAGCCTACAACAGCCTGAACGTTCAATACATTCGCGTTTTTTTGCGTGTTTATTTCTGGCCCATTCCTCGTTTAACAAAGTTTGTGTTTTTTGTTAGTGACTTGATCAAGCTACCAAGAATTGGACCAGCCATCTATATATCGGAAATGAAAAACTCAGTCTGATACCGGCATCAAATCTCAACAACACCTCTGTAACACAACATAACAGCTATTTAAGTAAACATTGTTCACAGGTTGGGGAATAGCTATATTTTGGATTGAGATTTCATGCGCAAATATTGCACTATCTCATTATTACTATCAGGTGAAGAAACATTTATATAATATTTACAACGTTGCTAGTTATTTGCGTCAAATCGGAAATCACTGTTATTCACGAAACCACAAGCTTCTTATGTCTTTGGTTACTGCATGTCGAAACTGTACAAACAGTAGTGACACCTCGTAAAATGATTATAAGTTCACACCCACAATTCATTGAGTCACTTTTGTACATAAGACATGCATTGCTAAACCAACTGTATTTAATCTGTATATACACATTTAATATTAGATGTCAATATCATATTGTTGAGCAATATAATGAACAAATATAAATTTAATACGCAAAAGCAAAAATAACATATATTTTAGTTTCATAGAAGATAATGTGTGAGATTTTTAAGATTGTTGTGAAACGAGTTTGTCAAATATTGTTTATCTGTCATTTTCCTTTTTCCACGTATTTACAAAATTTGAAAGATCACATATAAAGCACATGGAGATTTTACACGACCTGCTCAAATTTTGCTATATCACTTAAAACAGTTTTCATTTGGTTAACTTATAAAAAGCGAAATGCTTGTGCACGTCTCATGTTTCCTGATTGCAGTAGACAGTGAAAATATTTCACATTTAAACGCACCAACATCTATACATCTGAATGAAGGACTTTTTAATATATCGAGACTTAATTTTCATATAGACTTTTCTGAGTACGTTCTTGAGAAAAGTTTGAAATATGAAAGTTTTTATCCTTATTTAATTACACATGGCCAACTTTCAGGAAATTTGGAATAAGTAACAAACTCAAATCTGCGTTTGCGATCTTTTCAACTGCTTACTCTATTTATACTTCTTGAAAACGTATATGTCTCAGATACAAGTATTTCCAAGCACAATATTGTTCATCACTAGAAATTAGAGGTATCGGTGCTGGATGTTCAAGTGATATTAACTTTTGCTAGTCTTAATAAGTTTATAATAATAGGTCTGTACGAATAAAGCAGCCACATTTACAAATAACAATAAAGAAAAATCAACGAAGTAAACAAAATGTCGCAGTAATGTAAAACACTCTTAAAAGTCAGAATTTCCTTTTCTGAGAAAATACAATAAAAATTTAGAAACTCACGAAGGTCTGATAGATCATCATCGAGTCAGCGATACCTCAATATAATTAAAAAGCGAAACAAAAATGTCAAGTGGAAATGCAAAAAACAATAGAATTAAACACCACTTGGTCTAGCTTGAGGCATTTGCAGGACCTGGTAAATAAAAATCTCTAGCCTCAATTGGTGACGATTTGCAAAATTACAGACAGGCGCATCACGTACCAGGGGAAATGCCATGTCCGATGAAATGCGTGCATTTCAGACATAACATCCAATTACTACTATAAGAATAACGAACTATTTTTAGTCGAAAGAAGTATTCTTTCATTTTTGTCTTCTATTTTCAGTCAACAAGAAGAATTCTTTTATTTTTGGAAATGACACTATAAAACTTTCCTATTTTATAGTATATGCGTATTAGTTGTCGGGCATGGAAATTATACCGAACGAGACAAATGAGTGTGAACTTCTCAAGTAAGTTTTTTGATTTTTATTGCTGTAATATAATACACAGACTTAACTTGAACTACAAGTCGTTTACAAGAATGCATGCTGGAATATACATGTTTGCGACATGACCTACAGAGCTGATTACACTCTGGGTAAATGTGAACAGTACTGATGATTGCTCTGTCCTGGCTATGGGATAGATGTCGATCGACACCAACTTGACTGACTACTTGAATAATAACGACATTATATGTAACAAGTATACCTAGTGTTTTGTAAATAAACAACTCTTTTGAATTTTTCTACATTTTGTTATTTGCTGATAGTTACTGCTTAGCTGAAATTCATCAGGCGTTGTAAGATTCGTAAGCTGTTTCCACTTGTGTTTGCTTAGTTGTCGCAGGCAGAGCTTGTTCGTAACCGGCAGTTTCTTGCAGGACATTTGATGATGATGGTTGTTCGTAAGCTGACTCCACTTGTGTTTTCTTTGTTGTCGCAGGCAGAGCTTGTTCGTAACCGGCAGTTTCTTGCAGGACATTTGATGATGATAGTTGTTCGTAAGCTGCTCCACTTGTGTTTGCTTAGTTTGCGGGAGTGTTCGTATCCGGCAGTTCTTGCAGACATTTGATGATGATAGTTGTTCGTAAGCTGCTCCACTTGTGTTTGCTTAGTTTTTGCGGGAAGTGGTTGTTCGCATCCGGCAGTTTCTTGCAAGACATTTGAATATGATGGTTGTGAAGCTGGATTGTTGGAAAGGAGTTGCTAATTAATTGAAAGAATGAAATTATCAACCACAAAAAAAAATTGATTCAAAATGCTTATCTTGATAGAAATCAGATCAATGTAAACCTGTAGTAGACAGTGTGTTAAAATAATAATTTTTAAATAAAATATCACAGTTTTTTCCATCATCATAGAAGGTTTGTTCACAGACAATCTCTTTCAAATTTTTAGTAATTATGGGCGTGACTCCTAGTAGGGCGTTAATTTTATTCATTTTTATGGCATTCCAATTTTGTATAAACTCGAGATATACAAATTGTATTGCCCCACTATTAGAACCTGTATTGATTGATAAACGTTTTCTACCTCATTAACATTGATGGCATGTGTTTATCATTGAAGTGGAGTTACAACTTTTATCGTGACCGTTTCTGTTGTGTTTATACACTTTGAATGACACTTCGAATTTGATTTTATGGGAATAATATTTTATACATCAGTTCTGATTATTCTCACTACCTTTTTTTTATAGTTTCGTAATGTGTTCTTTTACTTCTGCCTTTTCCTTCAAATTCTTTATTTCTTTCTTCAATTTGTATATGATCCAGACAGAGACGACCAAGAAGACGAAAGGAATGAGAAAACCAATCACAAAACTGATGATGTTGAACTCGAACGCTCCTTTCTCTAAAACAAATACGTTACTCTGATTTCCGTTGATTTAAAGGTTTTGGGATTATAGTTTTATTATTGGAACATCATCTCTAGAATTACAAAATAGTATATAACGTTCACATAAAAGAACACTTTATTCTTCTTTAATTCTCAAAACTATTTGCTTGTTATCTTGTGTTGTTTGAAGTTTGCTTTTTTTTCATAATCTGGCTTTGAATTAACCAAATCTGAATATTTGTTATTCTTACCGGTATCGTTCTTAGCAGTAGTTTCCTGTTCACCTTGTTTCAACGTTATAGAGGGGCTTTGACTGAAATGTATTTGGTCACCAGAGGGCGTAGAATAAACTATCGAGACACTGAAGTAAAATAAGTTATATTATGCATTGCGGAAATACATTCCTTAAATACTGAAAAAGATCCGATATATTATATTTGATTGATAGCACTATTAAATAGTAAATCAATCTAATTTGACGTTAACATATATCTTTACTGTCTGTCGGTTTTGAAATAGCATTATATAACAATACCAAAACTTTCAATTAAAATTAAAAGTCTATGATGATCTATAACCCTAAGATATATCTGGAATACCTGAACGTTTTTTATCTAATTTTTTGTTCCTTCCTGTGAATAAAATTTCTTTTCCGATTTGTTCATTTTGTATCCCTGCTTTTCCGGTATTTATTACGTCACATGTTGTCATTGATTCATCACCGAGTGTAATATTCATTCGCTTACCGTTCATGCTAAAATATTTTATTCAATGTAAAATAGAATATGATATGTTATGCAGGAAATACCGCTGCTGCTCGAGACAATAGAAAAATCCCGTTGCAACGACGCATACAGGTATATACACCTTGAAACTCTTCAAAATTCATCTATGGTGGTACGAACATATGCAGTATCAAAGTATCTTCTTGCATGTGCGTTGTATGCCTATACTATAGCCGAAAAGTATTGGAGTAAAGTATTCGTAGTACAATGCGTTTCGTTATAGTTTTTAGAAAAAATAAACGTCAAAAATCATATAAATTTATACCGAAATATCGCCGTTGTCCTGATATATATAATACCTACATTGCCCTGGTACCGATTGCGAATAAATCTTTTATCCGATTAGTTTTTAATATCGCCAATAAACTTTCAATAATTTTCTTATGTTTCATATTTCAGGCAAATTCTACAATTCATGTTTAACTAAAACGCCTAATTAAATAATCACATAATATAATTTTCTAGAAATAAAAACTATTTACAACCTTGAAACAGGTATTGCTTTAGCAATATACTTTCACCGCTCTCTGTGTTGTTAATATTTATCATGTCAGTCAAGGAGAAGGCACGTCGTGTTCCTTCAAATTTGTGCGTACAAGTACGAATAGGCAACTGTAAATTAATAGATTATAGATTATACAATAACAGAAATTGTACCGACATCTTATTTTGTTGAAGAATAAAGTTCATATTGAAAAATGATACTAATCAAAATTAATCAGAACTTTCGTGTCTAATAAGCCGAGTGATTATATTGGTACAGGAGAGGAATAACATACCTAATATGATATATGAACAGGCACATTGATTTTTTTTTTCAGGCTAATAGGAAGATGAATGTACTACCTTTATTGTCGATATATTATTTTCTACTCTGTTGCATTTAGTTTACCTGACAAGGCCATTAGTCTCATCTGGTGCTTGTATTCCGAGTTTTTTGAATCCACATACTCTGCTAACTAGGTTATCTTCAAAACTATCAGGCGGAAAAACCTTTGTGGGAGCTAAAATACAAGACAGTATTTAGTCAAAGGCATTACGATATCCTTGATTTTTGCATTATTATTTACGCTTTTGCTGCAAACTGCGTTCTGCAAATGTGTCAAATTATCGTTTCAATTTGAAAATTGATACATATTTAGAACGCAATGACTTACGCAACTTCGCTTATCTTGGTTCAATTAGAGTTGTTGAGTAGATTAGTGATTACAAAATTGAATTCACAAACATTGAATTCTGAATATACCTCTAGGTTTTCCGAGACAAATGCCAGTAACAAAAAAAACTTGACCAAATCCATCACAACTGAATATTTTGATTGAAGCGGAATAGTTACGATTTGATTCTGGTTGAAACGAATACACGGATGATGACGTCACGTTTATTAGTTTCATGTCTGTCTTCAAGTTTGAATCTCGTGAGGAAGCCAGGGTTGAAGTTAGATTCAGTTCCTATTAATCATGAGATAAGTAATTACATCCGAAAGTCACTAAAAATGCTCTGAAAATTGATGCCAAATAAGGACGTTGAAGATAACGTAAAACCTTCCAGCTGAGTGGAATATGAATTGGATATAAATTACTAATAAACAAAAAACAAATGTGCAATTTATATCAGCGGACCAAAACAGATCTACGATCGTAAGTATAAACAGTCAAACTTCACGACTCAATGTGGACTCATGATACACGTATGGATTCTAAATTCAATTGACATATCTTCAAGTAAAGCTGTGTGTTTCGAGTAATTTGAGTCAAAATAAAAATAGTTCTTACCACAGTATATGAATCACCAGTCTCTGTCTTGTTAGATAAGATCCAAGAGATGACGCAAGTTTGTGTATTCTTGTATTGTATAATAGACGACGATTCTGCAGATAACGTTGCTCCTCCTGTTGTTGCGTTTCGGAAAGTAGAATATTTAGTTATGATTTTTGTAGAATTGTTGTTGAAAATTATGTTTGAACTTCGTGTGCATATATTTGAGTTTTGCTCCATTGTTTCTTTAGATAGAACCTATGCAACTTGTTACGTTTCCTTTACCTCCAGTTGCGCACGAATTGAGAAAAATCAATGAATATTACCTTTCTGGCAAATGTAGTAGATGATTTCATCACAAGATATATCAATCCACTCATACGTTTCTCTTCCAACTGCCAAACAATCTTCATTGCCAACATTGTTTGGTTGATTCGATTTCCTGATAAATTTAGAAGCCGAATTAATTATTCTAAAAATTATGCAGGCTCTAAGCAACTAATTTAAGAAATAGTTAGTGACAAGTTGTTACGCAGATATACCTTCTAAATATTTTCCGAACAGGAGAAGTATTGATATAATAAATATGGAATTAAAATTTTAAATTTTAGCTAGACATAATTTATTCAATTGCCCCTAACAGGTATCTAGTGAGGTTTTTCGGGATTTCACCTCCGACAAAATGAATTTGACTACGACGAATAATAAATGGCATTTTTGAAGTCATGCCGTGGTATTTCTCTTCGCTATAATATTGATAATATGAATACCGCGTGGTATACAAGTTCTGAAAACTATTTCACGCAGAAAATATATTGTTTATTAAATTCTTTTGCAACTTTTATAAATAAAATTGAAAAACAAACCAGTTTTCATATCCCACTTCTCCCCTCATGATCACATGAGTACCATCCTGCCATTTCCAATCTCCTTCTATAGCTATGTCATTTCCTCCAATGTAAAAAGTGTTAACAGTATCTTGTATGCTAAGAATATAAAAATCTTTTCTTTTCTTTTTAAAGAAATTATCGATTAAAAAATTGAAAAAAACGTCTGAAAGGAGAGCTGAAATAGACCAAGGACGCGCTAAGATACCTAAATAGCCTTTATTTGTTGAAGCAAAGTAGTATTGAAAAGCGCTGATTATGCCATGTAGCCCGTCATCGAAAATCCGCAGTTACCGGTAGTTCCGGTGTTTGTGTGTGATTTGCAATCTTGAATTGATTTGTTTAAATACTAATTCCTGAAAAACCCATTGCGTAAAGAACAGTTTTTGCTTCAATCTATTCAAATATACAAACTTGTGAGCTATATAAATTTTATTGATTCTTGCTTTTATTCTATTCACGATAGACTACTTGTTTCAATGCAACACATCCAAGGTAAATAAATTGCTGTGTAAATGTTAAAACTAAAAGGATTTCTGGATACATCAGGCTGGGGTTGATGATACGATATAATGTAAAAATAAAGAAGTACATATTTGGGAATATCCCGATCCTACAACATGCTTTCTAAAAGAAAATAAATCTTTAGCTCTCGTGCATCACTATGCAAACAGTATCCTATTACAACTCACGCATATAATAAGTGTTTAATCTACATCGAGATGGTACAACCAACAGTGAGATAATCAATTCCACCTATTTAGTGCTAAAGTTTCATTCAATACATTGAGTAACTACCATAGTAAATAACACCAAGATATCAAAAATAAAATTATTCTTAACTCACAGGAATGACGAATTAATGACTCTCGTTATTCTCTCATCATCAACTTTAGCCAAGTAACCTCTTAATCCTTCACAGGAAGATTTTGCCTCGTTGTAAGTTTTACGTTGTTTGAAGAAAAGCAGTTCAAACCCATCAACACATTCTTTCTTCCATGGATCTGAAACACAACCGTATCTGGAATTGTATTCAGTTTCAAATTTGAACAATTGAATAAATAACAATTCTCATTTATTAACATAAAATTTGACAAAAGATAAAATTGGAATGATAGATTGAATAAGTATACAATACTTTAAAAGCTGAGATTTTTTAATTTATTACAAGGAAACTTTGTATTTGTCCGTGAGAACGCAACCTATTCATAAACAAAAGGTTTTCATCGAGATATGACCAAAAATTTTTATTCATAAAATTCAACTAACCTTGAGCTGAAACACTGGTGATAAGGATCGAAAACCATATCACTAAAATTGTAAGATTCATCTTTATTATTCGAAAGACACAGTTTTTGACATTTGTCGTCAACCTAAATATTACAACCTAATTTTATTTCTTTTTGATCAGGTCGTTTCGGGTTTCAATTATCATAACTGCAATGTAAAAAATAAAATTAATAAATGCCACTTTAAAAAATAAAATTATAATTTATTGAAATATAAATCAAGCAACTCAAGTAAATGGACGTGAAAAACATCACAGTTCCTATTGTTGAAGCAATATTATGAATAACGGCGAATCACGTCGACTGATTTGAACCTTTGTGACGTAGAAGATCGACCTTTTCACCAGTATGCCCAGCTACATAAATTCGCCCCTTCTCTTATATTCAGATTTTAGTTGATCATAGATCGTTGTTCGCTTAAGACTGAACTGGTTATTAATATATTTCGACATTGTGGCAATATCCATGAGTCTTTCTTGTGGTAAATTACAAGCAGCAGAAGTGGCTGTAATTGCTATGAAGCGAAAGCATTGGAACACTTTTTCACGAGAATACTTTGATACAGTGATAATAATTACATAACTTATGCGTAAGTTTCTTCATTCACATTTTGAAATAATTCCACTTATACAAACTGCTACTAATATTACCGTACCAACATTTCTCGAAACCCGCTCTACATACAATCAGGAAAAGTGAACGTAAATTGTCACGTATGGATGTTAAACTGAGATGGTTCACTGAGTCAGTCTACCACTTCCCACTATACTAACAAAAGAGTTGCAAACGCACGGAAACATTAACTTCCAATAACCGTTCCTAAATCGCAATGGATTGTGTGTTCATGCATCAGGTATACCTGATGTAATAGCACAAATTCATAAGGAAGTATTGCCAGTATATTCGTTAAGCAAACACTCCATAGTGATTATGCTTAGCATCGTTGTCGCGAGTGGATGATATGAAAACCAAATAATATAACCAAGTGGAAATTGTTTTCCTCTGTCTTTGATTAGTATGTACCTATAGCATCAACCCCCCCAAATGCAATTGAGATCTAATCTCAACACACCCACAATACACTGTATCACACAGATCCTCGACAGGTTCGATAACAAATCAGAATACGTTAATTACAAAACGTAACGTCTCAAACAAATATGTTAACTTAATTTTTTTTTTCTCACACTTAAGAAATTCGCATTATTGTGATCTTAGACAAGTAATTCTTACCAGCTAGACGAGGTTTGAGGTGAGTTGCGCGAGACTAACTCCCTCTCGTCATCTATGCCTTTATGCTAGAGGTTTGCTTGAAAATAATGTAGGAACATATTTTATTTTTATGTTGTTCTCATCGAGTTCTGAATAAGGAATGCCGCATTGAACTAACTGCAAGACGACATTGCTTTAGTGAATTCTATTGAGGAAACGATATTTCCCGAGAAAGCTATTAGGCAATAACTTTATACGTCGCTTACATAATCTTTTCATGCTTTGTCACAACTTTTAGGATCGTTCATTGTTTCAAAATAACCCATTTCATTTTTTACACTTTCGAGAGAATACTTTTTTAATGAAATTATTTTTTGCAAAAATGGACCGATTACGCGACTATAGGTAATGAAAATGCAGTATTATAAAGTGTAAAGTTTAATTTGCCAAATATAGGCCACGAAAACCTCTGTATTCATGCTCCCGTTTTAACAACATATAAAATCTTACAATTATAATTTGTTTTCTGAATATTTCAATATGTTTATATTATTTTTTTTGAATTGGATGAATTGAGTTCTAATTCCCAAAAAGTTAACATTTGACTTTAATACGACGAGTTATATTCGTCCGCCGCACGACGTGACGGCACAACTTGGTCATTTCGAATCCAACACATACGAAAACAAACAACTATCGTTAATAAACGCTTCAACAATATGTCTTACGCGGAATCTGGTCACTAGAGCATGAATTCGCATTTTCTTGTAGTTTATGCCAGAATACGCTATGTTAGTCGGACAGCTTGGGTCGAGTGTTCGAACAAACCAGTTTGGCTAAAATAAATCTCTAAAGCAGCTCGACACTAGACCGGTACTAAGCCCCAGTGTCGGTACGGAGACTGACGTTATCGCATTACTTTTAATACACACTAAACTCCACCGCCTTATGTGGCTTGATCAAGCTCCCAGTAATTGCACCGGCCCCGCCATCTATGCCACCGGGAAACATGATCAGTCTAATATCGACATCACATCTCAACACCATCGTCGCAACAGCCCAATACAGCACTTCAAGGACGACCGTTTGGCATTTTGGCACAATAGTCATTTTTTGGATTAGGAGTCACAGGGGATTCACAACTTTGCAAGTTATTAACGCCGAACAGGAAGCTATTGTTCTTAACGAAACCAAAGTTGTGTATGTCTTTGGGTGACTGCAAAACTGAACAAACAGTATTGACGCCTCGTAGAAATACTAAAAATTCACACCCACAATTCATTGAAACTATTGTTTTTACCGAAACCAAGGCTTTGTATGTCTCTGGGTGACTGCAAAACGGAAAGAACAGTATTGACGTCTCGTATAATTACTAAAAATTCACAACCTCAAATCATTGAGTCACGTTAGTATATGAGGTATGTATTGCTAAAGTGACAGTATTTTATTCTGTATATACAATGTTAATATATGAAAGTAAAAACATATTGCTGGGCAATTTAATGAACCTATATAAATTTAATGTGAAGCAGAAATAGAATATATTAATATAATGTATATATAATATCGTTTCAAAGATGGCAATGTGTGGGATTTTGAGTTTGTTGGAGAACAATTTTGTCAAATCTTGTTTCTCCGTCATTTTTCCATAGTTTAATTTGCAACATCACTTAAACTGTTTTAATTTGGTGAAATGATAAAAAATTTAAATTATAAAAAAAAAAACACATAAGTTTCCTGATTGCAGTAGTCAGTAAAAATAATTTCAAATTCAAACTCACCAATATTTATACATCTAAATATACAAAAAAACTTTTGATCAAACGATTGTTAATTTTTACATCAATTACAATCTGGGTACGTTCGAGAGAAAAGTTTGCAATGCGAAAGTTTTTGGCATTTTGTTATTATACATGGCCGGCTTCCCGGAAATTTGAAATACCTGACGAGACCAAAACTGCATTTGCGATCATTTCAACTCATCACTCTATTTATACTTTTTGAAAACGTATATGTCTCAGATACAAGTAATTCCAAGCACAATATTGTTCTTCACTAGAAATTAGAGGTATCGGTGCTGGATTTTCAAGTGATATTAACTTATTGCTTTTCATAGGTTTATATTACTTATATCTGTACAAATATATCAGCAACATTTAGAAATAATAAAAAAGAGAAATCAACAAAGAAAACAAAGTGTCGTAGTAATCTGAAACTTTCTTTGAAGTCAAAATTCCCTTTTCTGTGAAAAAGCATTAAAAATATAGAAACTCACGAAGGACGGATTGCTCATCATCAATTCCCCATGATATTTAAAAAGCGAAACAAAGAGGGCAAGTGAAAATTCGACAAACAATATATTTAAACACCACACAGTATCGCTTAAAGCATTTGCAGGACCTGGCGAATAAAAACTTCTAGCGTCAACTAGTGACGATTTGCAAAACTACAGACAGTCATAACACGTATATTGTCACAATTTCGACATCTTCAGCAGATATTCCACTTTTCCTATTATTGCTAAATTTATTTGTTTACAGTTGCATATTTGTACTCGTTCACAAAAATTTGAAGACATCTGATGACGTACTTTCTTTGACTGACACGATAAAACAATACAGTGGATGGAGATGAATATATTGCTAAAGCAATATGTGTGAAAAGGTTGGAAGTATTTATTTTTCAAATATTCTACATTGTTATTTGAGTTGATTATGTGATTTCATGTAAATGATATTTGTCAAATTCAGGTGACGGATGTTATATATTATGATATGAGATTTTGTTTAAAGGTCATACCGAAATATATCATCGGAACTAAATGAATTTGACTTTTTTATGCTACGCATATTTACTCCGTTCGCTTGAAAATCACATTTTTTGTCCGTGTGAACTGCTATGCGTTATTAATAATCAATGCTTACAATATTTTGAGTAGCATCGGTAATTCTGTATAACAGATTATTGTGTAATCGCCATTGAATATTTTAGCATGAATGGGAAGCGAATGAATATTACACTCGGTGAAGAATCAATGACAACATGTGATGTAATAAAGACTGGAGAGTCAGGAATACAAAAGGAACAATCTCCTGAATGAGAAATTATATTTACGGGGAGAAATAAGAAACTAGATAAAGAGATATTCAGGTAGATATTTATAATCTATACTTCATCAAACACATGCTTCAATTGAAAGTTTTAGCATAAATACAATCAATACCTCTTAGTAAAGAAAAGATAAAGAAAGTAAAGATATTTCTTGACGCAAAATTAAATTTTTTACTTAATTTCTTTTGTAATATATAAATGTACATAAGTATATATTCTTTAATATATACTTTATCATTTTGTCATATTGTATAAGATAACCTATCTTGCTTCAGCATCTCAATCGTTTATTCGACCCCATCTGGCGACCAAATATTTTTCAAACAAAGTCCTTAAATTATTCTGAACAGCGCTGCTATAGACGATGAGGGTAAGGAAGACTTTTCTATATTTCAGCCAAGTGTAATAGATAATTTTGGTCTAGGTCAATAGGTTGAGATAAAAAAAAAGTTAGCTGGATCAGGTCATAAGAAAATATTGAGAATGTAAGCTGAACGCGGTTTAGGTCAAACTATTGCGAGGGAATAGTTCTGAGAATTATCCAGGAAAAGATAACTTGGCAAAACATTGGCTTGAAGATCAAGCGTTATTTTATCGGAAACACTTTTACTATCTTTTGATTTTTAAATAATGATCATGTGACTATTTTGAAGATTGTGATTTTTGTTCATTTTATCAATATTTATTGAACCAAAAGCCCTTTAAGATCATTTGGAATTATTAGTAATATGTTTTTTTTTATAAAAAGATTCATTCGAGTTCAACATCGTCAGTTTCGTGATCGGTTGTCTTATTCCATTT